CCCGGGAGACTCGCCGCCTCGAGACCTTGGAGCTTCGGTTCCTCGGAAAAGAGCTCAAAATTGGTCCCGGTGCGGGAAAAGTCCGGCGGCTCCGAGCGGCGCTGGGGTCGGGGGGGGAAGGCGGCCCCGGCCCCCTCCCGCCTGGCAGTGAGATGGAAACCACCCCACGGTGCTTGTTGTTGGAGGGGGGGGCCGGGGGTGCTCCCTCCCTCCCTTCGTCCCAATTTACCCGCGGCAATCGGTGCCCGCGGATGGCCGCGCTCGTCCCCGCGCCCCCCCGGCTGGAGGGGGCAGGTAGAGCTCCCAGGCCGGCTCCCCCCTGCTTTTGTTCCCAGGTTCTTCCTCAACATCTCTGTCGGGGAGGGGGGGCGTGCCCCCCACCCTTCCTCGCCTTACGGTTCTGGAAACGGCATAATTACGGGAGGTGGTGATTAAACAGCTTTTCTGGTTTGGGTGACAGACCCTGCGGAGGGGGAGGGCGCGCGGAGCTAGGAAGCGAGAGTTAAAATGAAGTTAAAGTACAAACGGAGGCACATAGCTGACATGCTTCAAGTTTAGACAGTACAAGATATGCAAATGTGCAGGGCTGCGCGGTATTGACATTTTGAGGTCATAGTGATAGGAATGTATTATTTATAGGATTGGGTTGCGCTAGGCCAATAAACTACATTTTAAATCCTAGGTGTTTGAAAGTGCTGAGATTTATAGGTATGTTTACCCTATCTATACATGTGTGTGTATACATACGTTTTATATAGGTGTTTTAATATTTCACGATTAATGTTCTCCCTGGCAGGCGGTGCACTGCGGTGCAGAGACCCCTGGCCTGGCGCTGGGAGCTGTGCCTGCAGCGGGGCCAGCTCTGGCCCTCCAGGGAGGCCACGGAAGGGACCCGCGGAGTTTACTGCAGCATTGCCATCTCCGCGTTCTCCCCCCTACCTCCCCTTCCTCTCCCTGTACGTCTTCTCTGGCCCCAGCTTGCCCTGGAAATGGCGTTGGGAGCCCTTCCCCTTCTTTCACTCTGACAGGCTCCCAAAACGAGGGGAAACTCTGCGGGTGGGTGGTTAGAAAACGGATTGTTTCTCATGTAAATTTTATCCAGTCTCTCTGCACTTTGTATCCCTGCTTTTTCCTTAGCCAATTCTTGCTGAGGGGGAGGGAAAAAAAAAAAAAAAAAGATTAATGGGATGTAAAATGGGCTGGGGGGGGGGGGGGGGGAGGGGAAAGCTAGGGGCAAATTTCCACATCCCCTTCCTCTGGACATCCTGGTGGGTTTTCCATAGAAACTTTCACACAGTGGCCAGACAGATGCTTAAAAGGGATGGAAGAAAATAATGAGACCACGATGGGAAAACAATTGCATCCCCAGCTTTCCACCTCCATTAAAGGCTCCTTTGCCTTCGCAGAGGAGCCCCTCGGCTCCCCGTGCCCACAGAGCCCTCTCCCCTCGCCCCGGCCCGCGGGGATGCTCCTGCGGCAGCGGCGGCTGCGTGGCAGCCATGGGAAAGCCGCCCCTTTGGCTTCTGGAAGTGAGAACTTGGTTTCCCTGCGGGGGGAAAGCAGCTTTTGTGCCTGCCTGGCTTCCCTAATGTGGAGAAAATTCCCATTAATTTTGTGAGGAAACATTTTGTTATGCGCGTTTCAACAAACATTAAAAATCCTACTCGTATTTTTTTAATTTTTTTTTTTATAGAAATCACTCTCTCAGCTTGACAGCCTCACTGGAGCCTCGGCCAGGCCTGCCCGAGACGGCGCAGAGAGGCCTCCCTCTCCTTCTCCCTCCCTGTTGGCTGCTCTTTTCCTGTCTAATCAATTATCTCCCTAGCTAGTCCTTCTCAAAGGTGAGAGCTCATTATGCATATTCATAAATCACAGCTCCCAGACCTGACACTGATTGATGTAATCATCTCCCGTTCGCTCCCTGTCTGCGCGGGGCCGGCCGGAGGAAGCGCCAGCGAGGAGAAGGAGGAGGAGGAGGAGGAGGAGGCAGGAGAAAGAGACTTCCAACTTGTCAGCCCCACTTCTGCTGGGAGCGG